GGTCACAAAAACGCGAATTGTTGTTTTCCCAAAAATTTCAAATGCATCACCCTGTATGTTTGTGCAAGTTTGGATCCAATTTTTTATTAGCTTTCTCTGATACTAGATACATAAGGGTTTTTACGAGCACGTTTTTTATGGAACGGCTTAATTCCCTAAAGTATCGCATCATCCTTGGACAAAAATAAATTGTTGATTAGTTACAAACTGCCAAAATTAGCTTTGTGAGCATTATAATAAAAACGTGTTTGAAAATGAATTTTAAAGAAGAAACAGGAAAATCCCCATTTGAGTGCACGGCAAATTGGAGCAGAACTTCTGTCCAACGGATTATTCACAACATTAATTACCATTCACATCACCTATGCTTGTATCAAGATCTTCGTCCTCAGGACTTGGCAGCTCGAATGGAGTGTAGTAGAATAATGCTAAATGAAATGAATGAAGACACTACTTTCCTGGATAAGGCTCTTTTTAGCGATGAGGCAACTTTTAACAGCATAGGTGTTGTCAACAGGCATAACATGCGACGGAAAACCCTTACTGGGTGATGCAAATAGATTTTCAAAATAAATGGAGCTTGAATGTTTGGTAAGGGGTTATTGACAGACAAGTTATCGGGCCTTTCTTTTACGACAACAGATTAACAGGTACAGAATACTTGAATTTTTTGATCGAGCATTTGCCTTTGCTTTTGGAGGATGTCAATTAAAAGCTTAATAACTCAAAATCTAGTAAGTTCATCTGAATCAAACCTCTTACCAAAAAAAGCTTATAAAAAATCGAGTCCAAACTTGCACAAATATACAGGGTGATTCATTTGAGATTTTTGAGAAAAAGTACAATTCGCGTTTTTGACCACCCTGTATGACCAAAAATGAAAATTCGAGAAAGTAACAAATAAGATAAAAGCCGAGGTGTATAAGTTTTTTTTGATACAAAATTCAGCATTCCAAATTTCAAAATAACGGATTGAGAGGTTGCCGAAGTGGACGATTTTTCTGGACAAAACACCATGCATCTCAGTAACTAATTACCAAAACTCCAAATATTTGCAATAAAATTTTGAGGCATTCTATTTAAAAAATCACAACTTTGATATGATGGTCAAAATTGGGACACCCTGTATAATTTCCAATATTTTAGGAATGTGCCCTCAGATGTCGTCTATAAAATGCCATAAATAGATTTTCCCAAAATGTATTTGTTTATGAGTAGTATTCCGTTCACACATGGATGGGCCACCCTGTATAGAGGCTAAAGGGGTTTTACCAGATATTCAGTCATGATGCTCACCTACCGATGATATTGCGGTGAAGGATGCAAATGAAAATACTTTGTTAATATTGTCGGACTTCGTGCTTTTGATACTATGAATCATTTCCTTTTATTGACAATATTGAATTTCATAGGGATGGCTCGAGGTACCGTAACCTTTTTCCATAACTACCTTAAAGATAGACAGCAGAGAGTGGGTTTAAGTGCGAAATCATCAAGGTTGATGAGTATTTCATCTGGAGTACCTCAAGGTTCCGTGTTAGGCCCTTTGTTGTTCATCACATATACGATGATACGCAGTTGTATTTCTCGTTCAAACGGGTACAGGTGCGAAATTAAATATTGACCTCAATAATTTTATAAACGTGACCACAGTGATCTGTTTGGTGAATAATGCCGATAAATAGAAAATGTTGTTATTTGGTCCTAAGCAGCGCAACAATATTGTAAAATCGTACATTCAAATACAAAATTGAGAATTAGCTAAAAGTGTTGAAGTTTTACTTGATTGTGAACTCAGGCTCAAGGCTTTGAAGCTGATCTATGTATACAAAAATCTTCTTTCCGAAAAAACTAAAATAATTATATGGTCCCCATCGAACTGTTCATAAGCAAAAAATTCAAAAAGTGCAAAATTCTTGCTTTAGACTAATTTATGATATCCGCAGACCAAACACTTACAACAGACGGGTATTGCATGCGGCTTGTTTATATCATAGATTAATACACTGCGACGCAAAATTAATCAGACAAACAAAATTTTGTTAAAATTAAATAACTTTTTAATCTTTGCTTAAATTTCGTTAATTTTTTCGCCAAGGTGTATGTAATTCCATTGTCATTCTTACCGACTGTCGATCTTACAAAAAAGTTGAAAATTTTTGTTGTTATACAAGGCGTAACTAAGAGGTGCATTTTGTCCTAAATTTCACATATCACATGAGAATTTTAAGCCTCAACTTTTCCCAACAGTTTTCTATTTGATTCATGTCAATACTTCAATTATTGCAGAATATATGCTGTTTCGAAGAAAATTATGGGAATCATAGCCATAAACAAGAAATTGTTTCAAAGGGGCTTTGCCGGGTAAGAAATTGTCAAGCAATACTCAACAAAAATGACACCGGAATAAGTAGCGCAAGCTGTAGCTTTACAAGATGATGGTCGTCCTATTCAGTATATCGCAGAAATGATTGCCGTTCCACGTAGTACGGTATTCGATGCGAGTAGATGGGCAAAGCCGTTTCGACCTCACTAGTATTAAAATCTGCCGCTAGAGGCGCTGCACAAAACCTAACGAAATCTGTAAAAACATCATGTGTCGTCGACCTTATCGCCTTGTCAGTGTTGTTGTGTTCGCCTGCGTTTATGATAGTAAGGTGTAGTATACAGGGGGAGCCAAGAATGTTTTATACAGGATGAGCCATACGTCACGTGCGTGACATACGTCATTTATGTCACGTGTGTGACGTCATGTGACATACGTCACGTGCGTGACATACGTCGTTTATGACACGTGCACGATATACGTTACATAAATGACGTTTGTCACGCACGTGACGTATGGCTCATCCTGTATAAAACATTCTTGGCTCCCCCTGTATACTACACCCTACTATCATAAACGCAGGCGAATACAACAACACTGATAAGGCGATAAGGTCGACGACACATGATGTTTTTACAGATTTCGTTAGGTTTTGTGCAGCGCCTCTAGCGGCGGATTTTAAAACTAGTGAGGTCGAAACGGCTTAGCCCATCTACTGATGCGATACAAACATTTAGAGAAACTGGTTCTTACTCAAGAAGACCTGGGCATGGAAGACGGGAAGCAACGAACACAGTTGAAGATTGGTTTCTGAGACCTCAAGCTCTTCGAGAAAGAGCACTTCCTGCTACAGCTTTAACTCGAAAATTAGATGACGTTTATGGTACCATAGTTTCGAAGGCAGCGCCTGGTATTTTCTTGAAATCATGCAGATTGGAATATGGACGACTGGAAAAACGTGCTTTTTACAGACGAGTCTCGTTTTACGAGATATTCACTTGATGGTCGCCAAAAGTGTGGAGATGGCGTGGAGAACGCTATGCTCAAAGTTGTTTCGCTTCTAGAATGCAATTTGGTGGTGGAGGAGTGATTGGTATGGGTTTTTTTGGAATTCCGTTTCGCTACGAGAAGGACACCTTAATGACGACAAGTACATTAGAGAGTGTTTGGAAAAACATGTGGTTCCTCATATGCACTATATAGGAGAAAATTTTCTCCTAATACAAGGTAATGCTCGGCCGCATATAGCCAGAATGACTAGGCAATACCTCAAAGATGTTGTAATTCAAGACGAGACTGGCCGCCAAAGGAAATCTTATAGAGAAACCCTCAAATTTTTATTTTTTCAAATTAACTTTTCTGGATTAATTTTTTATTCACCAGAATAAATGAAAATATAACAAAATATCGCTAAAAGATAAGTGGGTAATGCTAATAACAAATTGCATATTTTTTGCTTAAATGCATATTCACTATGGGTATATACGGAAAAAACAATTAAATGAAGCAGCGCATGGGATACAACAAAACAAATACCTAATTTGTACTTACCAAATTGCCTTTTACGAACGATGAAGCTGTTGATATGCTTGCAGTATATTTTGAATGTCTTCAGAATGCCGCAGTAGGAATAGAGTTTACGCGACCGGATATCAAAATCTGCGTCTTTGCGATGTGCGAGTTTTTCCCCGATTAGTGGCGAGCTTATGAGCCAATGGTAATTTTCGGCCTACGTTTCAAAGGGTTGGAAGAATACAAACAAATATTAGCCGCGTACTGGGATATATTGAGGAAAATCCTCATGTTAGCAAATATTTTGAAGGACCATACGTAGGTTCTAATGGCGACCAAACTATAGGGAATGTATTTGAATTCAACTTTTTTTTTAATTACTTTTAGAATGCACCCACATCATGTACTTTTGCATCAGTCCTTGGAAGAGAAACACTTTGATCGGAGGTGTGACTATTGATGATACGCAAAGATAGAGAATTTTAATTTCAAATTTTTTGTAACGATGAAGCCACCTTTAATAGTGACACAACATGCATTATTGGTCTGCAGAAAATCCGCATTTGTTGCATGAAGCTCAGCACCAAGGGCGTTGGAGTTTAAGTGTGTGGTGAGGCATACTGGGAGGCGGAATTATTGGGCCATTTTCTTTCGAGAAATCCCTATATGGCAATGTCTTTCTTGATTTTTTGAACAATCACTTATCGTTGTTGTTGGAAGATGTGCCACTGGAAACATGGCAAAACTTGTTTTTGCAGCTGTATGGTTTCCCAGCACATTTTGCGAGAGCATATTAATGCAGTATTTCAACCCTGGTGGATTGAAAGAGGAAGTCCCCGATCACCAGACTAAACTGGTCTTGAATTTTGTTCATGGGGACGGTTAAAGGACATCGTGATTCAGAATCAACCTGCAACCAGAGAAGATTTGAAAAACCGGATTCGTAGTGCAATACGTAAAATACTGAGGGCTGAAGTTGAAGCTGCAGTTGATATCTAAATCGGGTTATAAGGTCACGATAAGAAGCTTAAAAACAAGGTATCATCTGACACCCCATTCCATTTAATAAAATGGTCCAAGATGACCATATTGACATTTTCAACTGTTTACTTCAAAACATAATATTTAAGCATCACTTAGCGAGCATTTAAGCTTGCTAACTTGACCCGTTTAAAAAATAAGCATGGAGACCTTTTTCAAAAACACTGTATAGTACTGAATTAAATTTTAAATACCTGGTTTTCAAATTCTTTTGTGCTACTTTTCCTGGATTTTGATAAGAAAGAAGAAAGAATTGATTGAGAAGAAACATGTAGTCGAGCTCTTAATACTACCTAGTAAGATCAAGTCAAAAAATGTTTCTGAATATTATGAAGAATCAACGACTTGTGTGTTGAATTACTGACTCGGCTCCTGTTCTGCGACACTCCCGTTCCCAGTTGCATCTTCAGCTTGGTTGGGTGTGGAATCCATCGGCTCAACCTCATTTGATGATAAGGGTCTCGTCTGCCTCCAGTGTTCGAACTGAAACGCAAACATCAACATCAGTTATAGATCAGTAAAATAATGCAAAGTGGATTATAAGTAATGTCGAAAAAACTGATTGTCTTTGCGCTTAAGAATGCAATCCTGGCGGTCCTAATAAGGATAATGGAAAACTGTCGGTCCTTGGTACATGTACGAAGTATCTATACAGGGTGACGGGAAAATAGATGCGAAGCCGGTGGAGGGAGATAGTACAAGCCAATCTGAGTTGATTTTACTATAGGAATTACTGTCCGAAAATTAGCCGTTTTCGAATTATACTAGTTTTTAAGATTTTATAAAATTAACGTCCTTTATATTTATTTTTTTTTTTGTTTGGTTTTACATTAAAAATATTCTAAAACACGAAAATTGATACTCAAATGTACATTATTGACGTTATCTCATGCAGTAAGCTTCAAAATAGTTAATTTTTTTTTTAAATCTTCCTTCATCTCACAAAGTCAATTTACTAGAAACAATCACCTACAAAGTTTTCGTGCAAAACAATTTTAAAATATCTACGTTTCATTACCTTTCAAATGAGGTATCAAAGTCACAAACCGGTTTAGAAATGACAAAGATATGAGTGAAAGATACAGGTAGAGCCGCGAACATCGGACTTTGCCACCGGAATAAGTAAGACTAGTCACCCCCCTCCCTCCTATCTGCTTGCTTACTTGACCCACTCAAATGAACAAGTAAGGAACCTTTTGCAAAAACACTGGACCGTACCGAATTGAATATCGCAAGAACACCTGGTTGTGGTGGGGCTCTTAATGCAACCTAGCAAAGGTCAACTCAACAATAGTTGATGAATATGTAATGCCAACATACAACAACGTGTGTGTTCAATTACTGACTCACATCATTTCGCACAGCCTCGTACCACTCTGCAGATTGGGGTGAGTAGGGAGTGGACTCTTGCGGCTCGACCTCATCTAATGACGATGATGAGTCTTTCTTCCACTGAAACATAAGTATCAACATCAGTTTTAGAGCAATAAAGTAATGCAAAGTGGATTATAAGCATTATCCAAAAAACCTGATGTTGTCCTCTCGCTTAAGAACGAGGTATTTAAACTAAATAATAGTTTAAAAAAACTAAAAAACACGCTTTAGAAGAAATAAAAACAGTTCTATTGTCCGAGAAAATTAATGTAATAATTGAAGAATGCAATTTAGCAATAAATATCTAGTTGCTCTGGAATATGTCACTAGCTTTTGACATCTGACAAGTCTCTGTTATTCAAATCTGTTCGCTGTGACATCTTTTTCATTATTTAGTTTTTACAATCTTGCTAATAATGGTGGATTATAAAAATGCAGAGATGGCGGAAATGAATTACGTATATGGCCTTGCCGGCGGTAATGGAGAGCAAGCCAGACGGATTTATCACCAGAGATATCCCGATCGTGCTTTGCCAGATAGTCGAACCTTTTCTAATATACATCATCGTCTTATTGAAACTGGTTCTGTTCGAAAAGGAACATCTGAAGGTAGACCTTTAAGTGTGAGAACACCTGAAATTGAGGAAGCAGTGCTGCACGAAGTCGAAGAACGTCCTGAAACAAGTACGAGGAAGATCGCTAGGCACTTAAATATTTGCTATCAAATTGTTTGGAGAATTTCAGTGGATTTTTTGTTATATTCATACCATATTTTAAGAGTAGAGGCATTACTTCGCATTGATTTTCCAAGGCGTGTGACCTTTTGTCAGTGGTATCTTCAAAAAATTACATAAAACCCGCAATTTGAATCAATGATTCTGTTCACGGCGAAGCTATGATTTTTCTCGAAATGCCATCTAGAGTAATCATTTGTGGGCAGAAGAAAATCCCTATGCCGTAACCGAAACCCATTTCCAACACCAATTTTCGGTTAACGTATGGGCAGGAATTATTGGAAACCACTTTATTGGCCCATTCTTCTTGCCTGGATGACTTGACTTACCTCAATTTTCTTCAACAACAGTTGCTTGCCTTTGTTGCTTGATGATGTTCCGTTAGTAATAAGAAACAATATGTGGTAACCCTCCAGGGATATTTCAACGAGTGCGTAATTCCATGAGAAGGAGGGTGAAAGCATGCATACTAAGTGAAGGGGGCCATTTTCAACAATTTTTGTAAGCATTTCCTTGGATTCAATGTTATGTTTATGTTGTCAGTTGTTGTTCATTACCCCTAATGCGTTTAATTTTTCCAATTAAATTAATAATAATTTTGCAAGTTAGACAATACAAGTTAGGCAATTCAAGAGAGATAATTTGTTTTAAATTGAACGGGGAATTCAAGAATAATTTTTATTTGACAAAAAACCATTGGCGTACCATTTCTTTCTTAAAAAATATCGAAGTCAATACCCGTACGCACGCCACTGTTAAAGCTAAAAATTATTTTTGCATTGAAACATATGCGACTTTATTAACTTTCATTACGTACTAAATATCAGTGAAATATCTGAAGCGGTTCTGAAAATATTAATTAATTTCCATTTTTTCCCAAAATTCCAACACCCCGAGTTTTTGTAAGGAAACATTTTTGGAGCATAGCTTATAAAGCAAACTAACATTAATTTTTCATGTCACACCCTTAAATATTATCATATCATTAAGGAACACCCTGTATTACAGTAGTGTAGAACAACCAATCGTAATTAATGACCTCAAAATTAAATTATAATAAAGTTTACGTTATTAACCGAATAATTCAATTCACAGGAAAAAGCGTGGAGTGCTTCATATATTAAATGTTCCAATCAATCTTGGCAACGAACTATGAGAGGAGAATTATGAAAATCTAGTAAAATGCAAAACATTGTATATTACAAGCATTCATGAATATCGCCAACAGACAACAACGTGTGGGTTGAATTGACTCACCCGATTATGAACAATCTTGTACCAACTTACAGCTTGGGGTGGCCTGGGCGGGGCATCTCTCGGCTCATCCTCATCCGATGACGATGATGGGTCTTTCACCCGCTTTTCTACTTTCGACTGAAACGCAAGTATCATCAGTTATATATAGAGCAATAAAGTAATGCAAAGTGGAGCATAAGTGATGTAGAAAGAAACTATTGTTTTTGAGTTCAAAACGGGTCCACACATTTGCTAAACACTATCATATCTGAAAGTACATAATAATAATAATAATAATAATAACTGTCATCCTTGTCAGTCTCGCAGATATGAAACGTCAAAATACAGTAATTATTACAAGATAAGATGAAACAAAATTACGACAAAATCCATACGAAGTCATCAACGGAATAATCAAATTTTTCTACCGAAAATGCTTGCACACGCTTTTTAAAAAACTTAGTACTAACTAATGTTTTGATATCATTAGGTAAATGATTGTATACAGGGTGTCGCATCAGGAACTCCATCGATAGTTTTCTCAAAAAGTAGGCATATTTGTAAAAAAATTGGTACATCAGTGGCTCTAACAAACGTACTCGATGACATATTGAGAGCAAATGATGAAAAGATGAGTTCAGTTTTGGTACTTATAGACTTTTCAAAAGACTTTGATACCATTAATCATGAATTGTTGATAGCTAAACTTCAGTACTATGGCTTTAATAAGGAAGCATGTTTGCGTTTAAAATCATATTTGAGGAAGGTATCAATCGATTCTATCAAATGACACATTTTCAGACAAAGCGGAGATCATATCGGGAGTCCTCAGGGATCAATATTGGGCCTCTTGTTATTTTTAATTTATACATCTGATATCCTTACGTCTTTAGAGTTTTGTAAAGTTCAGGCCTTCGTGGATGACACCCAGGTTTATTGACTTTTTGAAAGCTAATCTCAATATAATGACTAATAATTTAAAATTGAATTTTGTTGAAAGTACAAAAAATCTCGGTATAGTTTTAGATTCTCAGCTTAGATTTAAAGATCACCTAAAAAAACTTATGCAAAAATCATTTGGTTCTCTAAAAGTTTTCTATAATAACAGACACATATCACTAAAAAAACTGTGTGAATCCCTAATTTTTCCCTATTTCAATTATTGCGACTTTGTCTATGGGTTTTGCTTAGATCAAGCAAGTAGAGGTCGTATTCGGAAGGTGCAAAATGCGTGCCTCAGGTTTATCTATGATCGAACCATATATCTCATTTGTATAAAGAAATTAAATGGATTAAAATGAATAAGCGTCGCACTTTCCATTTTTCTAGTTTTTTATTAAAAATTATAAACACTCCAGGTTCACCTGATTCTATAAGGGAACGCTTAATTTTCCGACATTCTGTTCATGATATAATTGTAAGATATGTAAAAAAATTAACTATGCCGCTTCATAGTAGTGCACTGTTTCAACGTTCATTCTCATACAATGCTGTTAAACAATTTAATTCAATTCCCAACCAGTTTAACTTAATCTTTCTCTTTCAAGTTTCAAAATACAATATAAGAAATATTTGCTAAATACAAATCAGAACAAACTTTTTTTAGAATAGAGATTGAAGTTTATAATTTAGGTACATAAATAGAAAAAAATATGTCAAGCAAATTTTATAGTAACGAGTATCCAAATTTTATAGTGACCAGTATTAATTATTATCTTGTTGAAATTTTAATTTACTTTCAGTCCATTTAGTGTTAACACTATTACTATTATTATGATTATTCTGTATTGTTATTTGAAGACTCATTACTATTATTATTTTTTTTGGTCTTATTTTGGTTCAGTAGAGTAGCTTTAAGCTGGACTTGCGCCAATATTAGGCAATGTATTCTGTAATTTTTTCTAAATTATTTTTGTAAAAAGATTATTTGTTGTATTCAATAAAGTCATTTATTATTATTATTATTATATGATATTTTTGAAAATATGGGAGTATACTAATGTCGATGGGCCAACGGCAGCTAAAATATCTTCAAGATGGTCGGTTATTTATTTAATAATTGCTTATTTTAAATTGTATATTATATTCAGATTCTTCATAAAACTCTAATCACATTTCATGCATATCCTCATATACCCAAGTCTTACCGTTTTTGAAATATTTCAAATTTTATGTCAAAAATGTCGTTTGCTGGCCCTAGAATAATTGTTCATTTTCACTATGTAGAACACTTTATTGTTTAATGTGGATTGATTTTCTGGTAAGCAGGGTTATATTTTAGTAGATTTTGTGTGATATTTTGATAATTATTTATACAGGGTCGTCAATAAATTAGTATAAAGATTGAATGCCAAAAATTGCCAAAAGTCGATTTTTTCAAACGAAAAGCCCTTAGTTTTATAAGTTTATCGCATTAGGCATTAAAAATTAGCATAACTTTGTACAGGGTTATCTATCCCAAACATGTTTACTTTTTGAATAATTAGCAATTTATTAGTTTTCTATTGTAAAACTCCTATAAGTACAGATTTAATTTTTTAAATCAGTTGGCTATGACGGCGGGACGCAGAGAATTACTAACTCACTTTCCTTCGTCGGACAGTCTCGCTCCCAGATGCTTCTTGGGGTTGGTTGGGAGTACCATCTTTTGACTTATCCTCATCTGAAGACAATGGTAAGTCTCTCAACCGCTTTTCTTCTTGAAACTGAAACGCAAATACCAACATCGGTTGTAGAGCAATAAAGTAATGCAAAGTGGAGTATAAGTAATGTAGAAAAAACCTATTGTCGTCTTTGCGTTCAAAACGGTACTACCAACTTACTAAACGCTATTATATCAGAAAGTCAGAACTTATACAGGGTGGAACATCCATGTGTGGACGGAATATTACTCATAAACAAATACATTTTGGGAAAATCTATTTATGGCATGTTATACATGACATTTGAGGGCACATTTATAAAATATTGGCCATTATACAGGGTGTCCCAATTTTGACCTACATATCAAAGTTGTGATTTTTCAAATAGAGTACCTCAAATTTTATTGCATATTTGAATAAACTGATTCAAAAGATGAAAATTGATTTATATGAGTTTTTGGTAATTAGCTACTGAGATATAAGGTGTTTTGTCTAGAGAAACTTCCCTCTTCGGCAACCCCTCAGTCCGCCATTTTGAAATTTGGAGTGCTGAATTTTATATCAAAGAAAACTTACACACCTCAGCTTTTATCTTATTTGTTACTTTTCCGAATTTTAATTTTTGCTCATACAGGGTGGTCAAAAACTGAAATTGTAGTTTTTCTCAAAAATTTCAAAGGCATCACCAGGTATATTTGTGCAAGTGTGCAAGTTTGGATTTACTTTTTAATAATCTTTTTTTTTATACTAGTCATTAATATTAACCGCAAGTCTTCAGAGTTTATTATAAAAGCAAGAGCAGCACTTGCTGTGTCTGCATAATTGAAAAAAACAAGTGACTCTAAAAGTGCTGACTTGGCAAATTTCAATATGCAAGTTACCAAAGAAAAAAAAATTACACTCCCCCCTACAACAGATTTCCGAAGATAAGTCATTAATATTAACCGCAAGTCTTCAGAGTTTATTATAAACGCAAGATCAGCTCTTGCTGTATGTCCATAATTGAAAAAACAAGTGACTGTAAAAGTGCTGACTTGAGAAATTTAAATATGCAAGTTACAAAAAAAAAGAATCACACACTCCCCTACAACAGATTTCCGAAAATAAGTCATCAATATTAACCGCAAGTCTTCAGAGTTAATTATAAACGCAAGATCAGCACTTGCTGTATCTCCATAATTGAAAAAAAAAGTAACTGTAAAAGTGCTGTCTTGGCAAACTTAAATATGCAAGGTACAAAAAAAAAATCACACTCCCCCTACAACAGATTTCCGAAAATAAGTCATTCATATTAACCGCAAGCCAGAGATTATTATTAACGCAAAAGCAGCACTTGCTTTATCTGCATTATTAAAAAAAAGAAGTGAATGTAAGAGTGCCGACTTGGCAAATTTAAATTTGCATGTTACGCAAAAATATGCATAAATTATGATGAAATCATAGTCTCACTTACCTTTCTTCTCTGTCTTCTATTCTCTGATGACATACTTGCTGATTTTCCTGCAGATTTTTCGAAAATAAAGCCTTACCGAACTTTTGTCTCTGCACTTTCGAGTTCTTCCGCCACCAGCGCTTTCATCGTGATGTGAGTTTCACAGCGTGTACCACTAGTACCCGAGTATTGGTATTGCGCAAGACCGTGATTGACTCAGAAATGTAGGGATGGTGTTCCGTTCGATTTTTCAGGTGGTCGATTTTATTCGGATCTTCTACATTTTTTTTTATACCGAAGCAGTCGCAGAGGCCTAACCGGCAGAGCACCGCCGCCGTTATGAGACGTTTAGCGAATCTTTCTTAATCCGAATTTTAATTTGCTCGAGGTTAGTAGAGCTGGGAAAAGCCTCTTCAGGAGCGGATATCCTAGGGACAAAGGAGTGGTCGTATCGGCCAGTTCTGGAGGTACCCCATTCGAGGATGGAAGGCAGGCACACCGCGCGGCACTGACGGCTTGTCACTGGGAAAAGGTTCCGAGCCGGTCCGTTGGAAAATCGGTCAAAAACCTTAAACTGACTAAGAATAATAACGTAATATTCTCGTGTGTATCAAGCGTGTCAAGAAAAAAGCTGATCTTTTATCTATAGGATCTGAACTAGCTTCTAATATTGCATATAGCTTTGCAGGATCCACTCAACATTATTGATTATAATAAAGTAATTAACGAACATTTATCCAAATTCCTGGTTCTATTGGAAAAGAGGATCTCTTATATTTCAATCTCATCAGCAGTTGAAACGCCGGAGGAACCCAAAGCCGTAAAAAAAACCTATATCCATGAGAGGTATCATGCCTTGCTTAGGAAAAAGGCAATAAAGTTCATTTACTGCATTTTTTAAAATCTCAGGCCAATACATTTTTTTATTATTATAATTACAAAATATCATCGATCGGGTTATTTAAGACAAATGGTTAGCGTTCCACTTTGTATTTTCTAAGCATAAAAGCAGTAAATCAATTTTATCAAAGCAAAGAAGCAGTAATTTTCAAACTTTAATCTCTGTAAGATGCAAGTACTGCCTGTTTGCCCTCTCATAAGATATTGTGATTTAGTTTCTTCATGCAATAATTCTATTATTTGTGAATAAGTATTTATAGTTACAAATATTTACTTTATCTCCGAAAGAATAATTATGAAAATATTTTTCGTTTAACTTAACATTAAGAAAACATGTAATTGTTATTCTTATATCATTATTTTTGTTGAATGTAACTATTAAATGTGATCACTAACCTTTTGACGTAGATTCCTAAATAGTGCGGATATTCTGAGACTTCTTATAAATGACGCTATGGTACCTCATTTCATATCTGATCATTTTTTGAACGCGAGAATATACTACCTTCCGGAAGAACAAATACGATAATCAATGGTACAACTGATCTTTATAGGATTTCACACTTTTCTTGATGGCTCTGGTTTCTTTCGCTGTTTCACTTAGCTATGGATCTACACATTACCCTCCAACTTGTTCACTCTGCACAAGGAGTCCCTCTACAAATTGACCAAGTTTTTTTATTAAAGAAATAAGAATATCATATATATTTGGAATCAGAAAGAAGACGCCTACCACTTGCATTAAAAAAATAACTTTATTCGATAACACCCTCCGCGACAAAACAGACGCTTCATGAAAAACTTTATATTTAACCATATAATTTCTATAAAAAAATTTTTTCTAGATGGTCATAGAAAAAGCAAGTCTGGGGAGGGGTCAATTTATAGCTGCAAACCTCAAAATAGGGCCAGGTAAGTGTCAACCTGGAATATTGTTAGGTGGAGAATAACCGAGCCTACACTTCTCTCCTTTTCTCAGGTTTTTTTTCTGGTTAAAGCGAGGTAGCAGTGATTCTCATCAAGCAATCTCGTCTATCCTTGGCTAAAAAATCGTCGCACTATTCGGGTGGTAATTAGTACTCCAGCTTTCTGTAGTAACTTAAAAATATTTAGTTGCAATCCCAGTGTTTCCGAACTTCTGTAAAGATCCTTCAGTATATCTCTCTTAGTAGACAGTACAATTGGTACTATTGTGACTTTATCTAAATTCTACATTCTTCTCCCTTCATCTGCCAGGACTGCATTCGTTCGTTTTTTTTTTCAGTGATTGTTTTTGAAGGTTATGTGTCTTAGATATAGCAACATCGATAATATAAGCTTCTGATTATTCTTCAAAAGTATACTTTAGTTTAGCTTATATTATTATTACTACTATTTTTGGGATGCTGTTTCTTTGACCATACTTGGTGCGCTTGAGACAAAAGCGACCCGACACCAACGCGTTTTAGGCCTGCCGAACGTTTTTAATAGACTTTTCTCGATTTATACGAGAAAACCTTCATTCATCGAATTTGACGAATGTTGAATCTTCCAAGGACGCATCAGCAAGATTATACATTAATTTTTTTTATACCGGCTGCTGCCATATAAGAAAACTAAGTATCCAACGATTTGTTAAGGAGTAGCACTGTATTGGCTGTTTTTCTTAAGTTTTCACAATATTTTTAAAATAAAATTTTGAAGATAAATACTTTTGGGATTTACGATAAAGTATATCAAGCATTATATATTAACAAGTGAAAAAATATTTTTTCAGCTGAAACTGAACGTTTTAGGTCAAAATTTTCGCGAACCACACAAAACTTTTCAACACACAAATTCCCCCCCATATTCCTTTACCTGTAAACATGTACAATCACTAGTTATTTCTTTTTTCCTACATCCAAATTTGCGCAGGGTACTTCAAATTCTATATGCCTCTTTATATTGGGCAGTGACATGATTTTGAATGTTTTTTATGTTACTCAACTATAGGCTCAATAACTTCATACTCTAATGGCATTTTATTATCTATTAAACATTTTTCGTTTGTTGTATATACGTAACGTATATGTGTGAACATTACATGATATAGCTATTTATTCTTTTTTGCTATTATGTATTAATCATATTCATAATTTTTTTCTCTCTAATTAAGTCGCCTTTCTTTCTTTGTGTTTTTTTCACTTTAGGGTACACAGGCTGTGTAAATGAAATCATTGTACGATATTTGCTCTCTAAAGGGTATCTGTACTTTTAGGCAATACATGCTTTACTATTGTTATCATTATTACTAATCCACAAAAAAACTTGACAATTATTTTACTGTAGTGTTACTCCTTAGGTTGTATTGAATAATTTCGATTGCTTTGTGCAGGCAGCACATCTCTAACAATTGACTACCGATATTGATGTGTCAGGTGCAATATTGCTGATGCATGATAAAACAATTCAGATAGCTCAGTTGTATTTTGATTTATTTTCTTTCCGACATATCTTCCGGAACGATTAGATAACAAATGAAAAAAATTATGGGAGCGCGAAGAATGCAGCTACCGGTCTTTTGCATGCCAAACAGTTTACGAGAGAATAATTGTCACGAATTCATTTCTCCCTATGTGTTTCTGATGTGACTCATGAGCCATAATATGAATACAAGACTTTTATCAGCTACCATTTCTTTGATTAGTCACATACTCAGGGTCGGAATATACATAAAGCGGTAATGCTTGCCTTAATTAAATATTATGCCCAAAAGAATTTTGGAACAGTGCAATGTGTACCTTCAAGTTTATCTGGTTGACAAACTCTTTCGGAATAATTTTTGCCTACTTTTCGCGATTTAGAATTTAGAAAGAACTGGTTAAGATGCAGCATATGTTCAGCAAAGAAAATCGTAACTTTGATACGTGTGAAGAACATATACTGAGTGACAAAAAAAGGTAAACACCTACGTATGTTTATCCGATTTCAATAACTTTTGGCATATTTGTTCAGTTTCCCTTCCTAGTAAAATGACTAAATTTTCATCTTGATTTGTCAACTGACTGCAGAAGCTGGTTCAATAATGTGTTGAGGATCCACGATTTCTTTACACACTCATTGACACGCCCAGGCATCGTGCTGATAAGGTGGTCGATATCCCGTTAGGATATCTTATTGCAGGCTACTTCAACTTCGTAAGAGCTCGGAGAGTGATGCAAATTCAATAGCCTGCTCTGGTAACATCCGGTCTGACATTGTCTTGCAAAAAAATCGGGTTTTGGATGGTGTTTAGGTATGGAATAAGATGAGGCTCCACTACTTCCGGAATATAGCGTCTGGCTATCATATTGCCTCTGATCAAAATAAGTGGTGATCTGCTACCAGAAGCAATAGCACCCCGACCAACGTGAAGCTCTCTGTCAAATTGTGGGTCACCACGTCGGCTTCTCACTCTTGCTCGACCATACCCAGACAGTAGCGGGATTCGTCATTAAAGACTACCTGATTCCATTCCGGGTCCCATAGAATTATTTATCTACACCAGAGCAAACGGTTATGCTTATGTTCAGCTGTGAGATGTAGCACCCGATGTTGGCGATAAGAAAAAAGACCAAACTGTCGTATTCGGCGATGCACCGTACGCATACAACCATCCTTCCATGCTCTTCAAACCACTGATTAGCGATGGATCGAGTACTACTGAATCTGTTTCTCAGAGCCAGAAGTCTTGACCGGCAGTCTTGTCGATCTGTGGGACGTCCAGAGCCCCTCGCTCGCTGTCCTCGGCCTTCCTGAGCCGACGCTCGTTCACACTGCAGTATACTGCATAAGGATCTGCAGGTCCTTAACAGAGAAACCTCACCATTTTATCACTTCTTGTTCCTGGCAAGTTAAATAGATATGTAAAGAATTCTTGAATTCTAATAAACATACGTACATATGTGTTTACCTTTTTTTGTCACTCAGTATATATCTGTACAGTCTCAAGCGTCCTATGTTTGTTGGCATCAAGGTTGCATAGAACATAAACCTGACGTCATAGTTGTGAATCTGAATCTGTGAAATTAGAAATTCCTTAGGAACGATCGGACCGGCCAGTTTGACTGACTCAGAATGATAAGTAGAAGCCTGGTGGTCCGTCTGGCAGTACCAGAGGGCTTCGGCATTATGGAAGCGACGTCATAGGAGTAAAATCTCTAGCACGTCTGTGAAAAATAGCCAAGTATTGTTAAAGCTGCTAATAAATACCCCTGTTGTCAACTAAAA